GGATTAAGTGCTGGTACCATTGAATGTCAAGTGACAGTGGTTAGATTGCCTCTTATTGGAAATAGTAATTGCCTGGCATTTGTGTGATGTGAATGTTACTTGCCACTTGTCAGCCCCAACCTGGATATTGTCCAGATCTTGTTGCATTTGGATGTGAACTGCTTCAGTATCTGAGGAGTAACAAATGACGCTGAACTTTGCGCAGTCATCAGTGAACATCCCTGCTTCTGACCTTATGATGGAGGAAAGGTCATTGATGAAGCAGCTGAAGATGACTGAGTCTAGGACACTATCTTGAGGATGTCCTGCAGAGATGTCCTGTTGCTGACATGACTGACCTCCAACAATTAAAAACATCTGGAGAAACAGAGTTTTCTATGACATAGGTGCTCAGCCATTTAAAGGATATTAGAGTGCTGCCTGTTCACCCTTATTTCACTTTAACGTCCTTTCTTTGGCAGATTTTTTATGCTGCCCTCTCTGGTCTTTTGGTCATTAGCTCATGTTACTGGCAATTGCTTCAATCCCTGGGCAACAGCCTTTCTCTCGTTCCTTTCTCCCTTCCTCACTGGAGGTATCTATAAGACTGACCTATTCCAAGATCATACTTAAATTTCTTCTGCTGCAGCTTGCTCTGTAATAACCCCTTCCTTGGCTCAAGGTCCTCTAGACAGCGAACCATAGATGATACTTCATTTGCTCAATATCGAATTTGTGCAACAAAGAGATAAGAAACTTCACAGGCTCTCATGCAAACCACACCACAGCCTCTACATCAGACTGGGAGAGACATCCACCCACTTCAGTACCACACAATTTTCCCTCATTGACTTTCCATAGTTGACACCATTTTGGTCACAGTGCATAAGGTGAGACTGTTTAAGCTGCAGTAAATTTTCATGCCAGCATGAGTACGTCTTTCTTCTCTAAAGGATTGACTCAGGCATGAAAGGCAAATGTTATCATTCACATTCTAATTACATGCTACCTGCCTTCACAGAACAGCTAAATTAATGTTTGCTGGATGCTTTCACATAACCTCAGGCATTTTTGTTTTAAGGTTTTCATTTTATATTTGGATCACAAAGTGAAAACAACAAGTAAATATATTAGCAATATTTTCTTCATAGGTTTGTAGCATCTCAGTTTAATGAGCAATCAATTATTTCCACAGAATTAAAATTATTCAAATAATTTCACTTTTTTTATTTTACAGTAACTAATGTGTTTTAGTGTTTTTATTTCCAAAATCTAAAGGTAATATAATATCTATTTATGATGCACTTTCAACAATATGGCAGAAAATTTATCGCTTCACCTCTTTGAAGATGAAACACACCACCTGTAATTCAGTCAGCAGAAGGCAAAAAAGAGAATGACAGTTAACATTTCAGGTCAATCATCTTTAATTAAAACCAAAAGAAAACATGAATTAACAAGAAATTGGTTCCGATAAAGTAACTGAGAATCACAGAATTGTTACAGGATTCAGATTCAACCCAACACGAGTATGCCAAATCTCCAAATAAGCAGATCATATACTGCCATTCTCCTTGCAACCCTGCACATTCTTCCCTTTCAAACAATCATTCGTATTTTGAAGTATTCAATTGCCTAGATGAGTGCAGCCCCAACAACATTCAAGAAGCTTGGTACTGTCCAGGACAAAGCAGCCCGCTTGATTGGCACCACATCCACAAGTATCCGCGTCTTCCACCACTGACGGTCAGTAGCAGCAGTGTGTACTATCTACAAAGATGCACTGCAGAAATTCACCAAAGATCCTCAGACAGCACCTTCCAAACCCACAACCACTTTCATCTAGAAGGACAAGAGCAGCGGATATATGGGAACACCACCACCTTTAAGTTCCCCTCCAAGCCACTCACCACCCTGACTTGGAAATATGTTGCCGTTCCTTCACCGTGCTGGGTCAAAATCCTGGAATTCCCTTCCTAATGGCATTGTGGGTCAACCCACAGCAGGAGGACTGCAGCAGTTCAAGAAGGTAACTCACCACCACCTTCTCAAGGGCAACTAGGGACAGGAAATAAACACTGGACAGCCAGCGATGCCCACATCCCACAAACAAATATTTTTAAAAAAAAAAAAAGGAAACTGCTCTGACAACACTCTAGGCAATGTATTCCAGGTCCTAAGCACTTGCAGTACTAAAAAGGTTTTCCTCTTTCGACTTGTGATGTGTATCACTAACATTGTTTCCCTCTCCACAGATGCTACCAGATCTGCTCTGCAGTTCTTGGAAACAGTACTGGAATTACAGCTAAAAGACCCGTTTCAGCTAAAATGATTGCTGATATTGAAACCAACTGTCCAATTACAGAGCTACTGATGCGCTTGGCATAGGCATGTCTGACAGCTTCCAATTGCTGTCAACTGCCTACCAATGGCTGCCAACTGCCTGCCTCTAGAAGTAGATGTAATGAGACACAGGGCATAATGGAACTGAAGTACTGTGTTGCCCTGAATTTCATTACATACGCCTCCAGAAAAAGCAGACCATACAGGCTGTGTGACAATGAATATTGGCCAATTCTTCCAGCAGTTCCTTAACAGGGCAATATAGGGTGAATGAATTTCTCTGATGTTTTCCCAATTTCTATTGTGATTTCAGTGGAACAGCCAAAATTAACACCAAAAAAGAATTAATGTTAATTTATTTCTGGGTTTTTTTTTTTATTAAAGCCAATGAAAAGTTACATACTGGAAGTTATAGTATCAAACTGATGGTTTTAAATTATTCTTTGGGGTATCTATGCTTCAGTTCTGAACTTGACATCCCCAATTTTAATCACTCCATCCCTGGCGGCTGCACGTTCAGCTGAAAAGACTCTGAACTCTTGGAATTCCCTCTTTAAACCACTCCTTATGTCTCTTTCCTCATTTAAGACATACTGGAAAATCTAACTGTTTAACAGTAAGCTTTTGGTCATCCAGCCGAACATTTGCTTCTGAAGCTCACTTTCAAAGGCCTCCTGGGCATTTTATTAAAAGCATTATATATACATTGGGGAAGCACTGCAATAAAAGAGGTGATACACCTTAGGTGAATAGTTCCACCAACGTCCTTTAAATAAACTCAAAGATCTAATCACACTATTTGAAAAATTGGTGACTGAAGACTTAAATAAAGATTATTGAATTTTCCTGCTATCCTGATCAACATCTATCCTTTCTCCATCATTCACTTTCTTGTTGGCTTTTCGGCAGGTCTTCTGAATGGACGCTAACGTAATGTTTGTTACATGTAAGATAGCTTGTTACATTCAAGAGCTTCCTTGTGTCATTCCATAATACAATTTATTGGAACTTGCAGGACCTTGGGACTGGCTTTCCACTGCTGTCACTGACAAACAGACTTAAAACCAGCTGCCACACAATTACAGATTCCACAATTGATATCTCAGGTTAAATAATGACAGCATTTCACATCATACCAACCATTAAGCGAGTATTTGCCTCACCAACACATCGAAGTAGACTGAAGTTTCAATTATCAGTTCATAGGTTACTGCTTTGGTTAAATATCTCTTAAATAATGGAATATAGTCACAACAGCAGCTAAAAGTTAAGAAAACTTGTAGCTGTGTAGTCTTCTAGCTCTGGATTCACATCTGGCAAATATGCATGTAGATGCACGAAATGCAAACTCTTCAAAATTGAAAACATTCTTACTAAATGAGAACAAATTTCAACATATAATGTCCAATGATTTTCTGACCAGCTTAGTTGTTCATAACCATGTTCGCAAGAACAAATATGGACATACAGCAAGTGATTCAAGAAGTTTGCTTCCTTTAATTAGTACTTGCCAAAATGATTTTAAATGGTAACAATCTACTCACTTTTGATTCCAAAGTAATTTTGTTTTGATGTAAATTTTCTGATATTTCTCGGAGACTTTCATTGCATCGGATTATTTCTGATTTTACTGAAATGAAAATAATAAACACAAGATCTAAACTTAAGAAAAATGGTTCCACTGTCTGCTTCATTACATGCTACATAAGATTAGTAAATTGAAAACTTGAAAATTTAAATAGAATTTGAGAAAACATTTTTTCTAGGATAAATAAAAGCAAAACACTGCAGATGCTGGAAATCTGAAATAAAAATATAAAATGCTGGAGAAACGCAGCAGGGTTGGTAGCGTTAACAAGGGTAAAATAGATTTAATGTTTCAAGTCTGATGTGGCTCTGAAGAAGAATACCAGGTCAACAGTTCCTCCTTCTCTCACTGCAACATCCAAATCTTCAGCCCAAGGATGTACTTGTTCTTGGTGGCGCCTACAACACAGAGCAGTATTATATAAAAGTTGGTTTTATTTATCTGTCTTGTGTTGAACAAAGAAGTTCTCCTCTTACTGCAAAATATTTGGATTTTTATCATCATTTCTGGCTCAAAACATTAACTCTGTTGCTCCAGCATTTTCTGCTTTAGTTTTCTAATTTTGTAGTTTCAGCTCAACAAGGTTAGACTGAATATAACGAATGGAAGAATTTCCCAATTGCAAATCATCTCTGCAGCTCCGATGATTTATGTGCATCTTCCGGACTCTGGTAAGAGATTACAGTCCTTGAGTTACTCCACAGGGACTGTTCCCATTTATAATATATAGTTAGAACTATGAATCAAAACTAAAAAAATGAATTATTATTTTATATTGTATAATCAGCATGTCTTGCTGCTTTATATCATCTCAGAAGGCAAGTATTGTGCAAGTGAACTTAAATTATTTTTCTCTCAATATTCTCCAATCCCATCGTCAAAAATTAATATTTCATTCTTTTGAATTGCTGTGTTTAATGTTTTACTCAAATAAGCACATAAAGGTGTTTAAAATGATAATGATGTTAAACACAGAAACTCAACAACAATCTTTACAGCTTCAAATCATTTTTTAATTTCCAGTTCAAATTGTTTGTACAAAAATATCTCTGTTGGCTATGATGAAATTATGTTGACTCATTTTCATGTGTTAATTTTTGTTATTTTCTGCTGTTTCAAAGCAAACACTGAAGTATTAAACCAAAAAATACTTTAATATCTTCCCACAAACCACAGCAGTTTGAAAACTCATTTAAGGCTGAAATTAACTTTAGCACAAAGGTAGTGAGTTAAATGCAAGTCAATATTGTTATCAAATATTTTCGTATATATCGGAACAGACATTTGCTATTTGCACTTAAATCGTCAGCACATTAAGGTATAGAACAACAGAAGGAACAATTAGACTGCACTGAATAGAAAGCAACGCGAGAGATATACAGCTACAGCTATTTGAATGATATAAATAGTGTACCGTGATCAATCCAGATGCAGCATATGCAATGTCTGAGAAATGAAGGTTGAGCTCATGTTATGAAACAAGAATTAGTATTCAAAATCTACAAATCACGATAAGCCATGGGAAGCCTTGAGAATAAACTCTGGAACAGAGAAGACGTTTTCATTGCCTACAGGGTGCAACAAATATGGAATCAATGACTCATACCATCAGGTGCTAGAATAATGTTTGGAAGAAGATACAAGACCTGAAATAAAATGCCATGGTAAGAAATATGAAAAAACATCTTAAGGCTTGTCTGTCCTTTATTCATTGATGAAAATCAAAAGATAAATACTAGAAAGATCAGGAAAAGGGCACTTGGCCCTTCGAGCATGCCCCGCAATAGAATAACTGCTGATCCTATAACGAAAATCCATCGCCCCACCTTTTCCACAGATTGTTTCATTTTTATACTACAAAATCCTATGATTGGTTTACAGTCTAGATAGCTGTAAGAGTGCAGATATTTGTGAACAAGATTTCACTCAGTAGTTGTTTATTAACCTTGGTATAAGTCTTCAGCCTTTGCAAGTTGAAGAGGTTATTATCTGTTCTGAATTGAATTTATCCTCATGTATTAATATCTTGGAGTGCGCATTGCATAACGGCCAAGAAATATATGGCAAACAGAGATGGAGCCAATATAGGCCATGTCTGTTTAATTGTCTCAGCCCAGGAATCAGTTCAGTGAACCTATATACCCTCGTTAAAGGCAAATATATGCAACCATTGGTAAGGAGGCCAAAACTGGGCTTATACTCCAAATGCTGTCTCACCTACTGATGAATACGATTGAGATTTTGCACATCAGGATCAAAAGAAGACCTAAATCTGCATAGTAAGAAAGATTAAAGAATGATGACTTTTAACCACAGATTTGGTTGATGATTACAATGTATTCCATTAACCATCAAACATTCTGATAAATTTCTGTTGAAAAGGCACTTGACATTGCACAAGGCCTTAAATTGTGTTAAATACTAAAATACAGTGTGAAACAGTTACTTATTCAATACATACTTAGATACTCATGATGAAGCATTTGAACAGACCAAGCATCTCATGCCTGTCGAAGATTCTATCCTGGAGGTGATTAACCAAGTTAATTGTGACAAGTATGCTCGGGCTTGAGAAGTAAATGGAAGTTTGGTACAGTCATAATAAATATGCACTCTGTGAAAAAGGATTTAAAGCAGGACAGATTAAGAAATGCACACAGAGGAATGAGGCATAGGTCCAATACACGTTTAAGACACTAGCTGCCTGCACACTAACACTAGATTCACCAAGAATTCAAGCATCATTCAAATTAGAGAATGTTCCCAAAATACAGGTGTGGCACTTGAACAGCACTGCACTTTCTCAGTACCAATTTCCAATATAGCTGAAACGAAAAATTAAAATCTTTGCTCCTAGACGATCCTCTATTTCAATAAATCACTCTTACATCTTTGGAATCCAAAGCATGGTTTAAAAGGTAGCTGATTTCAAAACTATTTGGTGTGCACAAAAAGCTGCACCTGAAATTCTGGGTACCTACTCTTGCGAAGCTCCCTGCACCTCTTAAGTTAAATGTAGGGCTGTCACCGAAATTTGATGCAAGTCCAAAACTGGTGATCAGAAACATAACGCAACCATAAGTAAATCAACAGTTTTAAACAAAGGGTTTTCAGCAGCGACATCCCCGTCAGCATGACAGTCTGCTCAATCAAGTACTGAAGTATAGGGGGCAGTATGGTGGCTCATTGTTACCTTACAGCACTAGGGGCTTGGGTTCAATTCTCACCTTGGGTGACTGTCTGTGTGGAGTTTGCACATTCTCCCCATGTCTGTGTGAATTTCCTCCTGTTGCTCCAGTTTCCTCCCACAGTACAAAGACGTGCAGGTTAGGTGGATTAGCTGTGCTAAGTTTCCCACAGACTCCAGTGATGTGCAAGCTAGGTGGGTTAGCCATAAGAAATGTGGACTGTCAGGGGAGGGGGAGTCTGCAATGGGATGGTCTTCAGAGGGTCAGTGTTGACTTAATGGGCTGAATGACCTGTTTCCACACTGTAGGGATTCTGTTTAAAAAAAAATCAAACCATGTTGTCAGCAGCCTTAAAAAAGTGAAAGAACTGTGGATGGTGTAAATCAGGAACAAAAACAGAAGTTGCTGGAAAAGCTCAGTAGGTCCAGCAGCATCTGTGAAGAAAAATCAGAGTTAACATTTTGGGTCTGGTGACCCTTCCTCAAAACTGATAGTAGCTAGGATAATGTTGGTTTATGCAGATGACAGGCAGTAAATGGCCACTCTGCCCATCCTATCAAAAGCCTCATCACTGAAATTGTGATTCACCTAAACTGCCTGTTAATCAGAAGGCTGCAACCACTGGAAGCTCGATAGTATATTGAAGGTCCTGTGTGCAATCAAGAAGAGGGTACCCAAGAGAAGATTGGTGTTAGTGATGGTTGTTGGGGGGGGGGGGGGTGGGGTGGGGAAGCATTATAAGATAGGATCACAGGGAGAGGAGGCTCAGAGGCAGATGGGTGGTTTTCAGCAGCCATCCCTGTGACTCAACTATCCCAGAATGGGGCAAATTGAGCAATTCTTCCCCAATCCTAGCAAGCAAGCCACCTTAGTCTCTACTGGGAAAGCAGTCATTTTTATCACCTATGGGAAGGCAAGTAATCTGATAGTGGGTTGAGGTCCTTGCACGGCCATCAATTGACCACTTAAGAGTCTTAATTAGTGGTGGATCAGGAAGTTCACCCATGGACTCTCAGCCCAGAAACTGATTGCTCACATGGTGAACAGGGTGGGGGGGTATTTGCATCAGTGCAAACCAGATCCATTATTTGCCCTTACCACTAACCACCCTGTCACTTCTTAGATGGGAATATCCCATACCCATAATTTCAAATTTTTAGAAAAATTTTTCCATCATCTCACAAACTAGGAGACAGCATACGAGCTTAGACTTTTGATGCCCGAATATTTTGGAGATTTGAAAAAATGCTGTAACACTGCATTGCTGCAAAATACTACAAAACTCTTTGTTAATCACTTGCATCAGAGTCATCGCACTGCTCTCGATTTCCCTCTTCCAGCTCCTGCTTCTGTCATTTATTGAGTACTGAATACCTCTTACTCTTAAAGGGCTTTTTTGACACATTGATAGTGTCCCTAGGAGATAGCAAGAACTGCAGATGCTGGAGTCAGAATCAACACAATGTGGAGCTGGATGAACGCCGCATGTCAGGCAGCAACAGTGGAACAGAAAAGTTGACGTTTCGATTCGGGACGCTTCATAGAACTGAGGAGGGGGAAGGGAGCTGGGAAATAAATAGACGAAGGTAGGTGGGATGGACAGGTTGTGTCAGGTCAAGGAGGTGAAAGGAAGGATGGGTGGGACGGTGATAGGTGGATGCAGGGATTGGTCAGTGGAAAGAGTGGGGCGGAGAGGTGGGGAAGAAGATGGACAGGTTGTGTCAGGTCAAGGAGGCGAGGTTGAGAGGGAGGGTTGGACATGAGATGAGGCTGGGGGTGGGGAGATTTTAAAACTGGTGAATTCTACGTTCAGGCCATTGAGCTGTAGGCTGCTGAGTTGAAATACGAGGTGTT